GTTCAGCTCTTTAGTATCTTGAATTCTTCCTTGTGCTTTGGCTTCTCTGCGCTCCAGTGCAATCTTCAGAGTCTCTTCTGACATCCATTTTGGTCTTTTCTTCCTCTTCTGTCTTTGTAATGACTGTCTGCACTCTTCCTGGATGATATACCCTTGATATCCTCCCACAGCTCATCTGGTCTTGGCTCATTAGTGTTCAAGGCCTCAAACCTATTCCTGAGATGGTTCTGAAATTCAGGTGGGATAGACTGAACATCATATTTAGGTTCCCGTGGATTTGGTTTAATTTTCCTCAGCTTCAGCTTGACCTTGTATATGAGTAGTTGGTGATCTGTTCCACAATCAGCTCCTGGCCTAGTTTGCAGAGCTGATATTGAGCTTCTCCAGCAGTTTTTTTCCGCAGATGTAATTGATCTGATTCTTATACATATCATCAGGTGAAATCCATGTATAAAACCTGTTTTTATGTTTCTTAAAAAACGTATTTGCAGGGAGCTCTGGTGGCCTAGTGGCAAGAAGCCGCACCGCAATCCCAGAGGTACGTGGTTCAAATCCACCAGATGCTCTGCTGGAGAAGGAGGGGCAATCTCCTCCTGTACCAGTCAGATCCAATTTGACGGTACACAAACACAAAATAATAAAATTTAAAAAACACAACAAAACAAACAAAAAAACACGTATTTGCAATGAATACGTCACTGACTGTGCAAAATTCAACCATTCTCTTTAGCTCCATTTGTCACCGAGTCCACGTTTTCCAGCTACTGAATCTTCTTCTCTGTTCCCAACATTTGCATTCCAGTCACCCATTATTGTCAATGCATCTTGATTGCATGTTCAATCAATTACAGTTCTTAAAATGTGGAAGAAATGCTCCATAAATGTTAACTAATATTATGCTCTGGCCTAGTGGCAAGAAACTGCACTACAACTCTGACCATGTGGTTTGAATCCACCAACTGCTCTGTGGGAGAACAATGCACAATCTCCTCCTATTCAATTAACTGAATCTGAAATCCCTCCAGAGGATCAACTATGGGTCGGTTCAGGTTCGATGGTACATAACACAACAAACATTAAATGCTGTTTAAAAAGAAAGCGTTCACACATTCAACAAATACTTACAGATGACATGTTGTTGTTATGTGCCATTGAGTGACTGTGATACACAGCGACCCTAAACCCTGCCCTATCCTGTGCCAGTCATTGTTTCACACAGCCACCACATTACCCCAGTCACTTAATCAATCCATCTCATCAAGGGTCTTCCTCTCCTGTGCTGTCCCTCCACCCTCCCAAGCATGGCATCCCTCTCCAAGCACTGGTCTCTCCTTGTGACATGTCCAAAGGATGTCAGATGAAATTTCAGAATCCTTGCTTCTAAAGAGCAGTCTGATCTCACCTAGTCTAGGAAAAACTTGTTTGTTCTCCTAGCAGTCCACTGTATATTCCAGTTTATTTCTAGAAAATGAACTGGTATGAAGACACGTCTAAAAAAACAAGAAATATGCCTCTGAAGAATTTGTTTTTCAGAGAGTGATACAAACAAATAGCCAATCAGAGTGACAGGTAAATGTTGACTAGTCTTGCAGTATCTTCACGATGAGCTGCAGACAGGATCACTATGATTCAAAGGGTGTTTTCACAAGGAATACCTGTAAATACAATTATTGTTCAAATACATGCACATACCACTAGAGCCAAAAATGAAGATACGAGGATTTCTACCAACTTTTGCAGTTTTAAATTGATCAAATATACAATCAAGATGTATTAATGATCAAATGAATGGACAGGAAAATTATGGTACATCCACACAATACTACGCAGCACTGAAAAACAATGAAAACATTACACAAATGGGGGAGCTTTGAGGACTTCATGTGAAGCAAAATATCTCAGTCACAGAAGAACAAATACTGCGTAACACTGGTATTATAAAACAGGACAGACATGACAGGGGTTGGGGAGGGAATGGAGGGAAACAGTGGATAGATAATGAGTACTTCATTAGAACAGATGAGGGGAGAACTGTCTGAAAAGAATATATTATTTTATGAGAACAATCTGGAACCAGGGGTGCATTGTAGAGTGGGCTGGGGAAGAAGTGGGGATGGGGGAGAGAGAATGTGCAACAGTGAATAAATAAATTTAAAAAGATGGACTATTAACAACTGGTGAGTGGAATACAAAAGTTGAAAAAAAGAAAGTATGGTAGTTAGAAAATATGGCCTTGGTGACATAAATGAGGCTGGAGACTGAATGACAGAATTTTGTCCAATGAATGCAAATACTTAAGTTTTTTAAAAGTTCTTTTTTTATTGAGATTTTAATGAAAGTTTATAAAAAACTTGAGTCTCCAATCATTCATTGTTGCACATTTTCCTCCCTGTCCTCCCTCCCCACCAGATCGCTTTTTTCTTTGGGAATCCTTTTAAAAAATATAAACAGTGACTATACACATGGACCTCACTTGGTGGACTACAGAGGAGTAAGACTGACTGAGTCAGTGTAAGACTCAATAGTCAGTAGTCAAAACAAAGCCAGTGGTTGACTGGACAACAGACAATCAACTACTGATATCCAAGTTCAAACTGAAGGTGAAGAAAACTCAAACAAGTTCATGAGGACCAAAACACAACCTGAGTCTATCCCAAGTGAATTAGAAAATCGACTAGATTTGATGTAATGAATCCTAACGACAAACGAGCAGAGGACCTAACCCATAGAGAGAGTTAATAAACAAAAAATAATAATTCTTTATAAAAAAGCCTATGTGGAAGAAAGGTTAGATAACTTCCTTTAGAAAAGTTTTAATATTTTAATCTCAGTATTAAAGGAAAATAGGGAGGAAGAAGAGCTCATATATATGAGTGTTTGCATCAGCCCTGGAAAACTTCCAAGATGGAAATAAATTTTAATAAAGAACATTTAGAAGAAAAGAAAGCTGTTAATGCTTGTTACTTTTATTTCTCTTTTCTAGTTAGGTGTTATCATTATAAACAAAAAGCTACTTAGTACATAAGGAGCTAGAACATATTTATATACTTAACATTTCAGTTTTGACAATGTACAGCTCAAGTCAGACCTTTAAAGCAGGGACTGCTTAATGAAAATGCAGGGGAGCAGATGGCAATAAAACATTATTAGAAGAGATGAAATATATACAACTGGTAGCAGTTTACTTATTCATATAAAATTTTAAAATGGAACCAATAAATGTATCCATCTTAGCTAAGCAAATCTTGTTATCTTGATTTATTGCTTTATTATGAAGCCTACAATGAAATTTGGGATGGTTGTAGAAGCAGTAATTTCCTTTCTCACCCCTATCTCTGTAAGACTACAAATAAAGGATAGAATTTATATCCACTTATAACTAAGATGCACATCACTCAGTCTTAGATCTAATCAGGTGTCACAAATACATCTGAGTCTTCCTTGGAAAAAACCAAGAAAAAAAGCCATCAGACTGCTACAAATTACTATTCGTATGAACTAAACAATCCTTTCTTTATTACTGAAATGTACACATGATGTAGGGTATGATAAAGGGTCATGCATGCATACAATTTTAACAAATATTTTTAAAATTTAAGAATGGAATTCAGATGCAAAGAAAATATTACCTGAAAGAGATCTCTCTAGCTCCTAGTCACCTAGTTCATTTTTCCTTTCAAAAACTGCTCGAGTCTACCAGCTGTTCCCTGGGAGAAAAACGGGCAGTCCTGACGCAATAATTACATCAGGAAAACTGGTAGAAAGTCAGCTTCGAGTAGGTTCTAATTCAATGGCACCTAACAACCACCCATCAGCAGGAATGCTCCTCCCTGTCCTCACCTCTATGCTCCTACCCCTTCCTCCTTTACATGCTTTACTAGTTCTCCTCCTATACAGAGTTGTGAAATTAGGTGCATGGAGGGAGGAGGTAAAGGAAATGGGAAAGATCCACTGGGTTGCTGAAAGGACAGGCTAATGGTGGGCATAATGGTTATGATTAATTTTGTAAAACATAATGAATGGGAGTGATTGCATGAAACACAAGGTGAATGAAAAAGTGTGATACACAATGTACACAAACTTTGTAAGCAAATCAATATAAAACGAAAATTTTAAAAAAGCAAGAATGCTTTTAAACTACTTCTAAGAGCTCTGCTGCTAAGTACTTGGGTAGGGTTCAACTAACAGCAATGTATGTGACAAAACTAAGCCTTCTTGTTTTTCTTGGCTAGAATTTTTCTGAGGTTGCAAACCTCTAAAGCAGCCAACTGCCTTATCTTTACCTTTCTGTCATGTACTTAAACCACTGACTTTTCCTCTGGTAGCCCAATGCTTAACCCATTATAACCTTTGCTTAACCTAGGCTCTTTACTCTCTTTACTAAACTACAACCAACTTACATTCATTTTATAAAAAGTGCATCTTTTCCCATTTTTAATTTGACCAAAAGAAATTTACTGGAGTTCTAAATGACCTTCAAATTACCACTACTTACTTGACTATTTATAGGCTGAATGAGTTCATAGAGGTAAACTGGTAACCAAAATACCAGTGGTTTGGTGCTGACACAAGATGGCGGCGGAGGCAGAGACAGTGTGGTGAGCTACGGGAGCAGCAAACCACTTAAAGCAGGGCCATTATGGCCTCCTACAGACTTCAGCTTATTGATAATTGAACACTTAAACAGTTGATGACTGGCCCTCAGTGAAGATTGCGGCTCAACAACAGGAATTCAAGGATTCCCAAGGAGGAATGGGTGAGTCTCGTTGCTCCCAACCCCCTTCCTCAGAGCCCGCCGCCGCGCCTCGCCGCACAGCCGCTGCAGCTCTATGAGGCTTCCATAGCAGGAACCAATGGAGTCCCTCACCAAGGATGGATGCTGGGCACCGGTCCTCCTCAAGACTGGGCCACCACACTGCCGCAAGGTGGACTTGTTCTGGAGAGAATTCTTGGAGGCAGGATGGCAGCAGTGGGGGAAGCGGGCGCCCACCAGCGAGCACCCGTGCAGCGGGGTGGGGGGGCGCGCCCCCAGCGGCCACCAGTGCCGAGGGGGGCTGTGCGCTCCCCTCTGGCCGCCCGTGCTGGGGGGTGGGTGCACGCCCTGCTGGTCGCCTGCGTAGGAGGTAGGGGATGGGATGCATGCCCGCCATCTGTAGGTTTGGGTTTCCTTGGACAGGCCAAAGAAGACGATTATCTATACAAAGGATTGCTGAAAGTCACTGTGAGTGTGATGACCTTAACAATGGCAGCATGCACAAGAGGACCAACATCCTAAATGCACCACTTATTTTGTTCTGTTGAATGCTTCTGCCAAAAGATGGTTAGACCTGGGGGGAGTCTGTTCACAATTCTCAGGTTCCCTTTATCATATATAAAGGGGGAAGGCAGTGACACCTACTTCAAAATATAGTATGACTACTTATGGGGGCGTAAAAGTGGCAGTGCTGGAATGGGAGACACTATCCCTGACCATAGAGTCCTCAGTCAGGCGAGGGGACCAGTCTGGGGTAGGGGCAACTGGAGGGAGAGTATACCAGCCAGCTCCTGGGGGGTGTTGCCCTGCTCGGGATGGGCTGCCCTCGGCCCCCAGCTCGGGGCGAGCTGTCGCGGCCCTCTGCCCGGGGCGAGCTGCCCTCGGCCCCCAGCTCGGGGCGAGTCGTCATGGCCCTCAGGGTGAGCTCCTCAGTCCCCAGATTGTGCCATCTGACCCCTGGGTGGGGAAGGGGGGAAAAAAAAGAATGCCTAGGGTATCCAAAGAATGTTACATAGGCCACCTTCTGCCACCCTCCCCCCCCCCCCAGTAAACCTGAAAGCAACACCCTCAAAGCCCTTCTATTTGTAACTCACAAGTTTGTTCTCTCTAGGTTTGCTCCCTTTCCTATAGGTAACCTTAACTCTGAGTTTTACTCCAGAATTGACCCTGAACTCAGTGATAGAGACAAAAAGGAAATACAACTGACAGCTAAGGAAGCAAAGGAGAATGGAGCCTCTGGATTCAACCAGCCATCCCCACTGGACCTACCTGGGAAAACACTTTGCAGTCCAGAGGGGAGCAAATGACAGGAAAATATCTTCTAACAGAGCAAGAAGGCAAGCAGCTTTAACCTAAGACCACCAGTAAGGTGATAAAGCATCCTCCCCTCCCCCCTTTACATCTACGCCCCTGTTCAGCATGAAGAAGCCAGAGAGTCAGCATCCAATTCCCAAATCACTAAGACAGTTGGTTTAATTACTATTGGAAAATGCTTGTCATTCCTCTGTAGTATCTGGTCCCCTCTGGACCCTCATTATTTCCTTCACCTGCTCCCCCCACCGACCAAACTGTGCAGCTCTGCAACTGCATCCTGGCCCATCCTCAACCCTTCTGCCCCCAACCCTCACATCCTTGTACCCCAAATATGTTTTTCCCAATAAAAGAAAAAAAAACACACCAGTGGTTCAAATCCAGAAGATAGACTGGAAGAAAGAAAGGCAGTTCCCTGTCATTAAGATTTATAGCTTCTGAAACATGATGGAGTGTCACCATGGATCAGTATAGAATTAAGGGTAGTGAGTTTGATTCAGTAAGTAATGTTTATTAAAAACATAAAATTTACATTCTAAAAATTCGAAAAAAATTCTAAAAATTTCAGCAATTTTTATTAACCTTATTGTCAAGAGTCCTTCCCCATGTGAAAATTATTTCTTTAATAAGAAATTTAGTATTATAGCTTATATATGCATATCAATCTGTTCATGTAAAGGGAATGCTGCCTTAAAATGAACATAAGGAAGCTGGTATTTGTTCAGTGTGGAATGTTAGAGATTAAAAATGACCCAATATTAAATGATAGACTGTCTCTGAAAACCCGCCGGAGGGTCAGCTGGGGTCGGTTCTGACTTGATGGTATAAAACAACAAACTAATAATGTACGAGGCACATTCCTATAATTAAACTAATTAGTTTTTAATTTCCTTAGTAGAATTCCTACCAATATGGCACATTTAACAACAAAGTAAAAAACAAAATCCATCAAAACAACTTCAAAAACATTTTCATCATAACAACGGAACATAAAAGCAAGGATTAAGCAAAAGTTGCAGGTATGTACAATTTAAGTATGAAGGTGACATTATTCTAACCTGTTTCAAGAATTACTAATGAAAATAATAATTTTTAGAACAGGTGACACCACTATCTACCGTGAAATAAAATGTAACACAAATGTTTTAATTTTTAGAGCTCTGGGAAAGAAAAAAATACCCCAAAATTTTTATCATGGAAAATGGTGACTAGTACAGTTCTTGTTCTGTACCATCAAGTCGAAACTGGATTTTCAGAGGCAGTTAATCTCACAGGAGGAAAATGCCTGTTTTTTTTTGCAGAGCAGCTGGTGGGCTTCGAACTGCAGCGCTGTCCCTCCACCTTCCCAACCATAATGCCCCTCTCCAAGGACTGGTCCCTCCTTGCAACATGCTCAAAATATACTGGATGGAGCTTCAGAATCCTAGTTTAAAAGGAGCAGCCTGGTTTCACCCTCTCTAGGAAGAACCTGTTTGTTCTCTTAGCAGTCCATGGAATATTCATTACTTTTCTCCAACGCCACAGCTCAAAACATCACTATTGTTTCTATCATCCCTAGTCATTGTCCAGATTTCTGATGCATAGCATGTAACTGCGAAGACCATGGTCTGAATCAGGCGCATTTTAGACTCCAGACTGACATCCTTGTTTTTCAGCACTCTGGAGATGTCCCTGATAGCAGAATTTCCTAATGCAGTTCATCTTTTGATTTCTTGGCTGTTGGGCCTTAGAGTGTTAATTGTGGATCCAAGCAGACTAAAGCTGTTAATTTCAAACTCTTCACCATCTATCATGATACTACCAAATGGCCCAGTGATGAGAATTTTGCTTCTTTGGTGTTTTGCTGTGGACCTTCAATCCATATTGAAGGCTACAGTCCTTTAACTTCTGCAGCAAGTGCTTCAGGTCCTCAGTTTCAGCAAGCAGGATTGTGCCAATTGCCTAACACAGATTGTTGATGAGTCTTCCTCCAAACCTGATGTCACATTGCTCCTCATAGAGCCCAACCTCAAATCTTCTTAGTAACATAATTGAATTTCTGACTTGTCCACCTCATCATGACAACTTGTAGTACAAGTGCTTCATCCAAGGTTAACAAATGTTATGATGACAGTGTTCAACTTCACTAATCTTATGTTTTGTGACTATAAAAATATAGTCAAGGCTTAGGAATTACTTATTTAATAAAATAAATGGACTCATTTGTGACAAAAACATATAGAGTAGGAATATTTGCATCATCTTTGCTTATTGCTATACTGTTCATTGGTACTTTCTATCCAAGTTGATTTGTTGAAAGGAGTAAAATAAAAGGGTTTTCTCATATTCCTAATATTCCCTCTGCATGTCATTGCTTTGTTCCTTATAGATAAAAAAAATTCTCAAACTGTAAAAAAAAAAAAAATCTTAGCAAAAGCCTTTAGATTTGTTATTAAATTTAAATATTACTAAAGAACATAGTTTTACCATATGGTTTAAAATCAGGAAGAGTGTGCATTATAGTTCTATCTTTCGGCATACCTATTCAATCTATATGCTGAGCAAATAATTCATGAAGCCAGACTCTTTGAAGAAGAATCTGGCATCATGACTGGACTTATCAACAACCTGCATCATGCAGATGACACAACTTTGCTTGCAGAAAGTGAGGAGAATATGAAATGCTTGCTGCAGAAAGAAGGTCAAGGACTACTACTTTCAGGTGTTGTTAAACAAAGATCAAGCATTGGTCTTTGACTGTAAAGATATCTAAAAATGGCAGTAAAAGATATACATATGAACAAGAGAAATTAATCTAAGGAATGTTATATTAAAAATATCATCTGGGAGCTCAGGTGGCCTAGTGGCAAGAAGCTGCACTGCAATCCCTGAGGAAGGCAGTTCGAATCCACTGATGCTCTGCTGGAGAAGGAGGGGCAATATCCTCCTGTATCAGTCAGATCTGATTTGATGGTACACACAAAAATAATAAAATAAAAATAAATTTAAAACAAAACAAAACTATCATCAAAATACTGTTGGCTCACAAGTAAGGAATAGGTAATTATTTAGAGGGCTCCAGAAAGTCACAAAGAAGAAGGTTACATCTGATCCTCAAGGGTGAACAGAAGGTTGTCAAGGTTAGAAGGGATGGAAAAGCATTTTTCATAAAGGTAGCGCTTGTACAAAATAACAGAGGAATGTCCTCAAGGGATGATATGAACTCATGAACTTTAATGTGACTGTAGCATAAGGAACGCAGGGGAAAATATTACAAAGTGAGACTAGAGAAGATGGTTGGCACAAGGATTTAAAGTCAGCCACTGTGCCTGTGGGCAACAGGTAGCACACAACATTTCAAATTATATTAGGAGAAACTGATTTACTGTATGGTAACAGTTTCAGTTCTTAATGCTATCACTAGAAAGAAGAAAAATACAGAAATCAGGCCTTTCTCGAATATCCTCTATTTAAAAGCCATTTTAATATATATAATTTATAATAATGCTGAAAGATCTTATTTAGATTCTTATTTTAATTGATGAAGAAAACTGGAGAACCAAATATATTCCACTTGAAAACATCTTTAATCTTGGGAACTATTCCACATAAAGAAGCTATTCTTACTGCTTAATGCCACAAAAGCAGAAAACTAGATTAAAAGAACAATGGGGCTGATCTACAGAGGTACTCCTTATAGTCTAATGAATTCATTATTCACATTTTGATATAAACTAACATTAGAAAACTGACATGGCATCAATATATAATGGCCCTTCACGAGTTTAAGACTGGATATACGAAAAGCATTTGACTATTAGTTTTGGGAGGTCTGGTGATCTAATGGATAAGAAGTCACACTGCTAACCCAAAGGTAGGCATTTCAAACCTAGAAGCTGCTATGTGGCAGAAAGGTGAGCAATCTTCCCCAGTGCAATTTACTGCATCTGAAAATCTTCTTTGTAGGTCACCAATGAATTGGTTCCAACTCGACAGCAATGAGTTTGAAGTGTTGTTTTATTTCTAAAGTTTCATATATATTTGCACATAATAAACTAAATTTACCTAATCTGTTATCTATCTGGTACCTAAAAAATTTAATAAAACTATTATATAGTTAATAAAACCACTTACATAAAGGGCAATGTTAGAACATAGGAAATTAGATACAAAATTTTACCAGTAACTAATCAAAAGGTTTGAAAATATAATTATACAAAGTTCGAAGGCTTTCAGCAAAAAGATCCTGATAGTCTGATGGTTTAAAAATAAGACCTCCACAATAACTTTTAAAATATCTTTTTAGATTTATGTACATTCTAGCTTCATGTTCCTAAAGAGATTATTTAGTTTTGATCAATAAAATGTTAGTCAAGACACAGGGCAAGTAGGAAGTAGTATTGCTTGCTTACATAAATTGAAGCTTGGGTTTGAAAGTATTTTGTATTTTAATATTCTCATCCACATGCTGAATTTCTGAATATTTAGACCATTGTCAGTCATTGGCAAGCTACTGTGTGTGTTAATGGCGTACCTTAGGTTATTTGCCTGAGCAAAAGATGATGAACCAATATAAAGTGTAATGCTACTAGTGCACACATCCAGCTCATATTTATCAAATGATATTGAATTACTGCTCTTGGAAGACTTTTGGACAATACATGTTATATAATACCACATGCAAAATGATCTAAAGATTTAAAGTCTGAACAGAGCTGACAGAAACCCATAACAGGTTGAGAACACACTGATAAGATTAAAATTTCAAGCAGTCCTTTCAATGTAGCTGTTTAAATTTTTTGTTCATAATTTTTAAAAGTTCTAATATATAGTAAAAATATATTTAACCATCTTACTCAAAGTCAGAATTTCAGTGTGTGTGTGTGTGTACACATATTTACTTACTATATCCACACACTATCATCGAGTCAGTTCTGCCACACAGTGACCCTACATCAGATTAGAACTGTGTAATGTATAACAATTTCTGTAATTTTCTATTATATTCTATTTAATCTTTTTTTTAAGTGGGCTACAATCCATTAAAGTGTTTTCAGAAGCAACCTAGTAGATCACCAACTAAACTTTAGTAAATATAATTGCTTCCCATACCCCAACTCTACTGATTAAAAATTATGTTATTGGTATTAGTCAATATGTAGTGATTGAGACAGAGCAAAAAGGTATCTTCTCCCTTTATTTGCTGATTCAAGATTACAGTTATACATTCTCAAAAGAGCAAAGTCTGAAGTTCTCATTGTGTGAGATACAAAGCTAGCTGCATTATTTATGTATTATCTGAATATCCACCAGCTCCTCAACTCACCTTCTTAGCTTTTGCCCTCCCTTTCGGCAGTCCTGTTGGCACTGCAGTTATTACTGGTAAATCGTGAGGAGCCCATAATGACAGAGCTGTCTTTTTGTCAATCCCAAAGGCATTCAGTTCAAACTCACCAGCTGCTCTGTGGAAGAAGAATGGTCAATCTCCTGTGCCCTTTACTGACCCCGTGGAGGGCCAACTATGAGTCAGTTCTGACTCACTGGCACACAACAACAACATCTTTCTCTTCTACTTCAAAGGAACTTGCCCTGACGGTGCAGTCCACAGGAAGCTGAGCTCCTGTTAGGCAGTCTGAACCCACCAGAGCTCTGTGGACAGGAAAATGAGCAATTGTCTCCTTTGATTTACTGATTCTAAAAACCCACTGCAGGGTCAAAAAGAGTTGGTTCTAACTCAATGCAATGATCGGAGTTTGAAACCACTAGATTCTGAGTGTTTTTCACTGCCTTCTTTTTAGATATTACATCATGTGGGGTATGGAATAAAAGAATTTGAATGGCTTGTCATTTGGAATTCACACAAAGGACTTTTTTCAAAATAGTGTAAATAAGTAACTTTTACATGACACAATAGTGCAATGTCCGTTTTATAGCAAGGAAAAATGGCAGGAGACTGAGCAAATATTTTCTGATTTAAGTATCATGCTGTAATTCAATTATGAGTTCACATTGGGAAAGTTTTCGTTTTATAGTGCTAATGTTTTATACTACTATAGCACTGTTCATTTAAAATCACTGATATTTTGTGGAAGAAAAATTTAGTATTTAAACACTACCCATCTGCACCTTGATCATAGTTATTTGCTTGTTTTGATTATTTCAACAAATTAGACTTAGTATAGGAAGGATTCCATCGCCCTCTTGAGGTAATTTTGCTGTACTGTATTGTACTTTCCAGAAGTTCTACCTGGACTTTCTAATTTTAAAAAGCATAGTGGCATTTTGACCATAGATTTTGGGACTTCCATAATTAGTATATATTTTATGCTAGCCAGTAAATGTAGCCTTTTCCTTGAAGAACCATTTAAAAAAGCAGTCTCCTGTCCCCTTCAAATTAAGGACTTCTTCAGAAATTTACCTTCTTTATTCTTATGCACATACAAAGTAAGTACAGTAAATGTCCATTGTCAAGTACAGTCTTTAAGTAGATAGAAGTAATTCAGGTTTGATGAGGCTGAACTTTTTCAGCTTTTCCCCCTAGAAGGTGAACAGGTTTTGTAAAGTTATTTCAATTTAGAAATCTAGACTTTACCAGAAAGTCTAGAAATTACAGTACCTTCTGATGGAGCTCAGTAGGGAGGCCTGGAGGTTTAGTGGTTGTGGGAGTTGTGTTGCCAACCCTGTTTGAATCTACTAGCTGCTCCAAGGGAGAAATATGGGCAATCACCTCTCAATTAATTTACTGCCTCTGTAAACCACTGGAGAGTTAGATATGAGTTGGCTCTGCCTCTATGATATAACAACAATGATATTTGCAAAAACAGTTTTCAAAAGCAATAGAATAGTCTTTCCTTTAAAGTTCTTGCTTTAGTGATCTGGTTAGGTTGTAGAAAAATAAAATAAATAAAGCTACTCTAACTCACACATAGTGATCTGTCCTCTTTGCCTCACAACACAAATCTTTCATTTTTATCACAAAATCAGCAATTGTTGTTGTTATGTGCCGTCGAGTCGCTTGCGACTCATAGCGACCCTATGTACAATAGTCCTAAACTCTGCTCTGTCCTGTGCAAATCACACTGTCTCTGACACTCTCATCCCGATTACCCCAGTCACTGAATCAATCCACCTCATAGAGGGTCTTCCCCTCCTGCAATACATAAACTCAAAACTAACTAAAATGACCTCAGAAATATTACTCTTCTTATTATAGATAATTTAGTCAAAATATATGAATTTATTTGGTATCTATATAAGCCTTTTGAAAATTTAAAAATACACAAAACCAAAAATGGTTTCTAATTAAATGATCTAAACTCAGTAGGGGGATATACTCTACAAATGTCAAACATTCTTCAAGAAGAATAGTGACAAATTTTTAAACATACCACATTTTGATGGGCCCTCTTGTGTATTAATATTCAGTTCACAACTGATGAATAAAGACTAGCAACAACTTAAATTAGGTGTAGAAATATATTCTACAAAAAGGGAAAATAACTTTCATTTGCACGCCTCAGCAATTGTAGATGGCTTACCATGTCATAAAAAAAGATTATAAATTGGGGAGCAGCCGAAAATAAGCTTGCTAAAGCAAAAATTATGTAAAATAAAAGCCCTGGTGAGCTGATTACATAATGTTTATAGCCAAGAAACATTACGAGATAATTCTGCTCTGTAATACCTGGGGTCACCATGAATCCACGCTTCTTTGTCCATCCACTGTGTGACAAATCTTCAGAGTAAGAAGGACACAGTTCTTTCTTATAATTGTTTAAGGGCAACAGGTCCTTTTTTGGTTGCTATTTTGTACACACCATCCAAACAACAATAATATATTTACAAGGATGCCGACTTGCCAACAATATAGTTATATAAGAAAGAAAGTCCAAATTTATCCTTCATACATACATTCTGAATTGCCCAGGAAACAAGGAAATGCCTTGTTTTAGAATTATAAATCAACTCAACTCCTTACCCTGAGGTGAAACAGATTTATCAGCTGTTCATACCAAAACCTCCTCACTGCCATTGAGAATTATTTCACCAATGAGTCTTGTAATTAATTCCCTATCACTACAATTAGGAGAGTAAACAAAATCAAAATCCAAACAAACTGAAAACCAAAAAACAAATGATGTTTCTTTGGAATACCTGCTTGATTTTGTTGTTGCCAACTTGGTGACTTGATAACACTGGTGGAAGTCACAGGCTTGAAGGCGGCTGCAGTTGTGAGGCTGGCCGACCCTGGTCTGGAGGAGGCTGAACTTTCCAGGCTCTCAGGTGTGCTCCGTGGAGCCTGGTGCTGAGAAGGCTCCTGGGTGTTGCTGTAAAGGACATTAGTAAACAATTTGGTGATGTGGAAGCAGTCTAAATTGTCAGTGATCCCCTTCCCTTCTCAATCCATCAAATCCTCAAGCAAAACAAAAAGTTAGTTAATTTGCCATTTGTTTTTTAAGTGTGAGGTTGCATTCCTTATACACTTTGTAAATGATCTTTAAAAGGCCTACCATGAGAAATTAGGTTCTTGCTAAGCTTAACCAGTGTCACATGAATAGTCTGTCCTTTCATACAAACTAATTTTCTCCCTGATAACTACCTCAACTGTCAGAAGAATCACCTAGCTAAAATAGTCATTAGAGAATCCTGACAATATCTGTGAAACAGCACAGAAGCTTCCCATTTCCATGTTCTTCTAGTATTTTATGAATAGACATCTCATCAATCACTTTCTCACTCACACAATCATTATATAAACATTTAAGAACCTACTCTACACCAGACACTCTGCTATGCACTGTTCACAAAGCCACAGCTGTCCAGTTGATCCTAACCAATCCATATAGACCCTCCATTGAGTCTCCAGGACTATAAATCTTTAACAAGAAGAAACTGTCCATTTCCCCCCTCATAAAATGGTGATATTGAACAGCCAAACTTCTCATGAGCAACACAATACACTATGCACTACACCACTGTTGTTGTAGGAACCGACCCATAGCTGCCCCTTGGGTGGGTTTTCAGAGGCAGTTAATCGCATGGGAGGAGACTGTTTATCCTTCTCCCACATAGTAGCTGGGTCAAATGGTATTTCTATTTGCAACTTTTTGAGAAAATGCCATACTGCCTTCCAAAATGGTTTAACCATTGTACACTCCCACCAACAGTGATGAAGGGTTCCAGTTTCTCCACAACCTCACCAGCATTTGTTGTTTGCTGCTCTGTTGAATTTTGCTATTTTTACTGGGGTGAGATGATATTTCATAATTATTTTGATTTGCATCTCTCTTTGAGCTAGGGATTTTGAGTACTTATTCATGTGTTTCTTCGCCATCTGAATGTCTTCTTTGGTGAAGTGTCTGCTCATAGCCTGTGCCCATTTTGCAATTGAGACGTTTATCTTTATCTTGTGGTGCTCAAGTATTTTATAAATTCTACATATAAGTCCCTATCAGAAATGCCACTACCAAATATTTTTCCCAGTCTGCAACTTCCCTTTTTTACCCTGTTGGAGAAGTTTTTAGAAGTGCATAGGGGTTTGATTCTTAGAAGGTCTCATTCATCTATTTTATCCTCTCCTGGTTGTAGGTTTTTAAGGATGCTTGGAAGACTATTTATGTTGTGGATTAGGGCTTCTAGAGTTCTTCCAAGGTTTTCTTTAATGAAATTTATAGTCCTTGATTTTAGTCCTAGGCCCTTGATCCACCTTGAGTTGGTTTTTGTGGTCATGACAGCATGGTACTGGTACAATGATAGACAAATAGATCAATGGAAAAGAATTGAGAACCCAGCCCATCTACCTATGGACAACTGATTTTTGACAAGGAGATGAAATAAGTTAAGTAGGGAATGACAGCCTTTTTAACAAATGGTGTTGGCAAAACTGGAAAACTATCTGTATGTAGAAAACTCAAGAATGAGATCTTCTTAAAAAAAAAACAACTTTGTGTGCATCAAAAACTTCCTCCAATAGGTTGTAAATAAAGACTACAAACTTGGGAAAAACATTTGGCAATAACATGTCAGACAAAGGTCTCATAATGAATCTTTACAGAATACTACAGGGTCTCTAAAAGAAAAAGACTGATAACCTAATCACAAAATGGATGCAAGAAATGAAAAGATTCTTCACAAAGAAAGGCATTTGGAGGCCAAGGATTTCCAATGAAGAAATGTTCTAAATCACTAGCAATCAAACAACAAGATGCCATCTCACTCCAGGAACAGCTGCAAAGTTTAACAGCCAAGTAAACAATAAATGTTGGAAAAGATGCAGTGAGATTGGAACTTTCTCTCATGCACTGTTGGTGGGACTGTAAAATGTTACAACCACTATGGAAGGCAGTTTGCCATTTCCTCAAAAAGAAATCCACATAACTCAGCTATTCCACTGTAAGGAATATATCCAAAGGAAACCAGAACTGGGACATAACTGGAGATATGTACACTTATGTTCATACCAGCATTATTCACAATAGCAAGAAAATGGAAACAGCCCAAATGTCCATTCAACAAATGAATGGTTTGAGAAACTATGACACATTCACACAATGGAATACTATGCAGCACTAAGGAACAATGATCTCATAAAATACTATATAAAACAGGAGACACTACAGATCATTATGCTGAGTGAACTATCTCAGTCACATAAAGACAAACACTTCACGAATGTGAAAATAGGAGGATAATTGAGCAATACATACACACACAGAGAGAGAGAGAGAGAGAGAGAGACACAGATAGACAGAGGGTGAATTGTAGATTGTGGGTAGATATTACCCATCATAACTCTCTCATAACTGCTGGTGCATTTCAACCTTCACAGAGTTGGCCTTTGAGTTAGCAGTGCAACTCCGCAAGACTAAGTCTACAGTTCTTAAATCAAAATCAAAGTGAGATACAATATCACCCCTACTAAAATGGACATGATCAAAATGACAAGTGCTGGTAAAGATGTGGAGAAATTAGAACCATCACCTACTGCTGATCAGAATGCAAAATGTTTCAGCCTTTAAAGAAAACAGCTTGAATGTTCTCAAAAAAGTTAACAATTCTGATCCTAGGTTTATACTAAAAAGATCAAAAACAGAAATGGAAACAAAACTTGTACATCAATGTTCATTTCAGCAGGATAAAAAATAGCCAATAGGTGGAAATAATCTAAATATCCATCAACAATGAATGGCAAACAAACTACAGTATATACAAACAATGATAAGTTACTCAGCTATAAAGAGAAACAAAGTCCTAACACACACGAAATAACGTATGCATGTCAAAATGTAGATGAACCATAAGAACATTATGCTGTCAGTCACAACAGGATAAATACTGTTTGCTTTCACATACATAAAATAAGCATATAAATAGAAACTAAAGCTTTTATTGGTTACAAAGAGCTGGAGAGATAATGAAAGGGGAAATTCTTTTCAGCAGTGAAATAATTTTGAAAAGGAACTTAGAATGGTGGCACAAGGTACATAATATAATTTATGTCACTGAATTATACATGTAAAAATTACTGAACTGGAAAATGTTATGCTATATATTATTTCATCACAACAAAAATGTAGCTATATATAAAGTGATCAGCAAACTTTAAGTATAGATATCAATTTAACACATGGAAAGCAAAATTGTGTGTTCAAATAATGAAACACATTTTCAAGACCTTGGCATTTCATTATAAAGTTAAGAAAAGAAATACTATTTGACATAGCAATCTTACTACAAGGTAAACATACCCTAAAGAAAAAAATTTCTACACAAACTGACATAACTCATTTCCTGCAGTAGTATTTAGCATTTACAACAACAAAGAGTTGAAAATAATGCAAGTGTCCACCTATACAAAAATAGCTATTATTTAGTATGCAACACTAAAAAAATGATTAAGAATTAGCAAAATATTGCACAACATAGAGAAATCTAAAACAAATCATTGCTGTCAACTCAAAACAGACTCACAACTGACCCTGGTTAGTTGTCTAAGACTGTAAACAGTACAGAGGACAATGCTCATCTTTCTCCTGTGGAGCTGCTGGTAGCTCTGAACCAGTGATGTGAGACCGTTAGGTTAGCAGCAAAATCCCTCTGGCCTACACCACCACACCTCCGAATCCTTAAGTCAGTCACAAAAGAATAAATATGGTATAAGACCACTAATACAAAAAAAAAATTAAGGGAAAGTTTACACACAGAATCTTTCTTGTATTGTTAACAAAAGGATGAGAAGGGAGGAAGAGAGGAGTAAACATTAATAAATAAGTTGAATGAAGGGGAAAGCAATATAAAATCAATCTCCAGGAGGTTCTCAGAAGCTGTAGACTGCATGGGAAGAGACTGTGCACCTTCTCCCACAGAGCTGTTGCTGGATGTGAACACCAGAGAAGTGACACTCTTGGTTTGTGGCGCAACGTCCCATGCACTACACCATCCCATGCACTACACCGCCAGAGCTTCTTTTAAGGATGATTATATAATGTAATGAATCAATTACAATAATCAATGTTATTAAACAAAATGTACATGATTAATTACTCATGTAATTACAAGAACATTAATATGATTTGTAAACTTTCACTCAAAAAAATGCCTGGTATGTGAATCATAAAAAAAAAAGCTGGATCTTAGCTGAAAGCAGAGAGTATCATATAAAACTCCCTATTTTCAATATTTTTTATTTATTACCTAGTAATTATTTTTAAGTTAATAGTTAAATACAAGTTATTTTAATTGTAAGATTAAATTATTCATGAATTTGAGAAAATAATAATCTACACAGTCACAGTTCTCTGAAGAAAATTTATGAGCAAGAAATACTAGTTGTTATAGCAGAAATAAAAATATAATGTGGGAATTATAGTCAAGTCCAAATGATATTTAGTACCTATTAACCAGAAAGAATTAAAATTTGATTCCACAGTAGTTGCCAATTTAGAAGAAAATTATTAAGATCATGAGAGATTCAGTGCCAAGACTAATGAAGCTCCATTGAGGGAATAGTAATAATGGCCTCACTGATGAAAACTACTCAAGAAGAGGAATAGAACCATTAAAAAAAAATAATGGAGGTTTATTCCATAAGACTAAGTTCTGTTTGCCTTAAGTCACTGAGTCAAAATCATAGTGAGAAAGATCTCACTCAAGAATTGTTCAAAGGAAAAATAAATCTGTTTTCTAACTACTTCCTATGTGAAAGTTCTATCACCAGAAGGTATTAAAACACAGGACAGAAATACCATTAGAGAGAAGTTAACCATCAGAGGGTGGAGGGCTAAACTAGCTATATCTCTATATTCTAATTTTATTAGGGCACGGCTCC